TGATGGCTCTCATATGTGAGGCTAAAGGAGATTATGAAGCAGCTCTTGAACATCTTGTACTTGCTAGCATGGCAATGATTGCCAATGGACAAGAAAATGAGGTTGCAGCTATTGATGTTAGCATTGGCAACATCTACTTGTCCCTATCTCGGTTTGATGAGGCTGTCTTCTCCTACCAGAAGGCACTAACTGTCTTCAAGTCATCCAAGGGTGACAACCACCCCTTAGTTGCCTCTGTTTTTGTGAGGCTAGCTGATTTATACTACAAGACTGGGAAATTGCGGGAGTCCAGGTCCTATTGTGAGAATGCTCTTAGAATATATGGAAAACCTGTTCCAGGTACCACTGCAGAAGAGATTGCAAGTGGGATGACAGAAGTTTCTGCCATTTACGAATTATTCAATGAACCTGAGGAAGCACTAAAATTATTGCAGAAGGCAATGAAATTACTGGAGGACAAACCGGGGCAGCAAAGTACAATTGCTGGAATAGAAGCACGGATGGGTGTAATGTTATACATGATTGGACGATATGAAGAAGCTCGGAGCTCTTTTGAGAGTGCTGTAGTAAAACTAAGAGGCAGTGGTGAGAGGAAATCGGCCTTCTTTGGTGTTGTCTTAAACCAAATGGGTTTGGCTTGTGTACAGTTGTTTAGAATTGATGAGGCTGCTGAGTTGTTTGAAGAAGCAAGGGAGATACTTGAACAGGAGGTCGGCCCCTGTCATCAAGATACGCTTGGTGTCTATAGCAATCTTGCAGCAACTTATGATGCTATGGGAAGGTAATATTTTGTTTTCAAGTTTTTGAAAGATATTCTTTTTTATGATGTCTTGTATCAAATTTCTGTTAAAAATGAATCATATTATGCTTGGCGCTATGACCTAGGTTCATATTACTGCCTTTATAGCCAATTGCTCTTGGTACAGGATTATCGAAACAAGGTTGTTTGTTGTTGGGATAGGTGATTAGCTATTGACAATGGGATGACGCTCGGGTTCTGAATTGGGTGGATATAAAATGCTTCTCTATCCAGGATTTGATGTAGGCAGTAGCTAGGGGATTTGTCCGATGAAATGAATCACTTTTGCATATGAATTGCTAATTTATAATATACCCAAATTGCAGCATGAAAAAAATTTCTGCTTCTGGAGCTTTGTGCGCACTCAGTTCTTCAATTAGACTTGTATAGTGGAAGGCTGATTATACATCTGATGTAAAAGTGCACCCATTCTCTGTAAGATAACTACTTTTGGTCGTGACCCAATTTAATACTTCAATTCTGAAATTCTGGATTTGGTCTTGTTTCTTTTTGCTTCTGCTTAAAACATCAACTAATCCCTGCCAAGATTTAGGATCATTAAATGCGTAACTGGTGCATTAAGTCATTTGCCAGCTATCCATGTGGATAATTGTAGAATTAGTAACTAGTACTAGAAACTGCTGAACTCCTCCTTGCATCTGTTTGGCCTGAACTTACCTACATTCTGGGTTTTCATCGTAGGGCTTCTCTAATAATTTTTTCTGAAACTTGCAGAGTTGATGATGCAATTGAGATCCTTGAATATGTTCTGAAATTGAGAGAAGAGAAACTTGGCACAGCAAATCCTGATTTTGATGATGAAAAGAAGCGGCTAGCTGAGCTCTTGAAAGAAGCAGGCAGGTCCCGAAACAAAAAGGCCAAATCGCTTGAAAATCTGATTGACCCCAACGCTAAAAGGACGAGGAAAGAGACATCGAAGAAATGGTCCCCCTTTGGGTTTAGAAGTTGATAATGCATTTTTTTGCCTCTTCTATTCCGTCTGATATCTCACACATGCCTATCTTGTAACATAGGAATCGTGTATAGAGTTCTTTTATGATTTGGTGAGGCTTCCCTTTTTCTTTTTTTTTATTAACTCTCACCCCCTTGCCCCCCGGCCTCTGAATTGCCACTGGTTTTAATTCTGTTCAGTTTCTTATCTCTTTGGTATGCTGAGCGTGGATGGAAATTTATTTTTAGTTTGGTCTTTTCCATTCTATTTTGCGTCTGTTTATTTTAAATCTGCTAATAACCCTTTTGACTCCGTAAATTTATAGATGTGGCTGGTTCTCTATATATAATTGCACGCCTTATAATGCTATGGACTTTAGATCAAGGCTCTGTAACAAATTTGTACGTGGTTAGGTCCAGTAGGTACGTGTATAGTATGTGGCTTTAGGCTTGAAGAAGTGAAGTCTTTCAGTCGTGATGTGAGTTCCAATTCAATGAAGCTTCCATCTGCATTTCAGTGGCAAAAAGACTCAAAACTTCTCCTTTTAATGCTACAATCATGTATACTCCCAGATTCGTCCACGATGTGGGTGGGTTCATACTGGTTCTTGGTCATTTTAGTTTGGCAAGAGGGACGCCTCACGAATCATACATCAAAACATTTTCAATTGGTCCAAAGGGTAAATGCCTCGGATCAGTAGCAATAGTAACGGGACGCATTTCCATCCCGCGTCAGCATTTAGGAGGAATTGGTAAGCCTCATCCCCACCACCTCTGGAGAGCAATGGGCACGAGAATTGTAAGCCGGACAGGGGTTTTAGTTGCTTGGGCCTCTTTTAACTGCTTATCGGCAGGAGACACTAGGGCCGGAGAAGTTTTAAGCTCTGGATTTCGCAACTGCATGATATTTTCAGCCTTTTCAGGAACAAGTTCCCTGAAAGAGAAAGTCGTGTCAGGGTTTCTCTTTCTGTTTTCGTTTTTAATTTTCTTTTCTTTTTGTCTTTTAATGCAGGACAAAGGTCAAATTCATGCATGATTATATACCATCACATGCACCAGTTTTTTCGTAAAGGGAGGCAGGCAGCAAAAGTAAAAGAAGATACCGGCCAGAATCCAGATGCAACCCTCTTTCTCCTTTGCACTTTCCAGGCCTTACCATCCCTCTGCTCGCTTGCCAAAGCCAAACCAGGAAATAACAGCGGCAGATGTGGCTTATGAACGTCAATACAGAGATGATCTATACTTGGTAGTATTACACGTTGCCACGAGTTTCCCAAAGCGCACGAGATTGAGTCGTACGTGCTTTGGCGTGAAATGAACTGTGAAAGCTTGCATATGTGTCGATGGAGGGGTGGGATGAAACTCAATTCCCAATTTCCCATGTCATATGGTACCATCCTTTTATCCGTGAATAGACGTTTCTTCCTCTTTTCTACAGATACAATAATATCGATGGCGAATAAGAACAGCTGCCTTGAACAGGATGCGCGGTTAAAATTTTCTCTACGACTGCGACGAAGAAGTAATTTTGTCCGTGATTCAAAGCTGCAAATTCGTCCTCGCACTCATTAAAGTCCTTTGTACACACACAATACTCCAGGGATGGTACTGAGTTACTGAATCATGGGATTTCCTATCTGCACGCAGATCAGTTCCTGTTCCTCAGATGGTGTGCAGGTTGTTGTGATGGCAACTGCCCAAAAAAAATAAAATCAAGATTAGGATAATGGATTCTTTTCTTATCTTGTTTCTGATTAAAATGACGGTTATTTTTCTTTTTTAATGCCAAAAGAGCCTTGTAAAGGGTATCAGAGTTTTAATGAGACGAGCAGACTGCTCCTTAAAAACACTTGCTCACTTTCTTGTGTGGTTCTCACTTATCAAAAGGATGTTATACACTATGTTAAAGAACAAAAAAAAAAGATCGAAGGGACTAGTTGCTGTGGATGGATGGATGGATCGTGCTGTGTATCTTTGAAGCATATGGATCTATCGGGTTGCATGTCCTGATCAGATATTTGGCAATGAAAGGGAGGGTGACAGGAATTCAACTCAAAATGTATTATTATTATCCATGTTTTTTTGCTAAAATTAATGGCCAAGATTTGGCAGTAGCAATAATGAGAGTCCTTTTCAGAATTCAATATCTGGGGACGATGATCAGTTCCTTAACAAGACAAGTATGTCCTCGTACAGGAAAAACAGTTGACAGAAATCTGATTTTATCTACCTTGACATCACTAGGTGAGGTCATGTTTATTAGTAACGTTTAGCGCTAATTACCCACCAACCATGTTTTAGGCTGCTAGCTAGCTAGGAGGGTCCATTCCTAATTATTGAATTAATGGAGCTCCTCCATAATGACCAACGATGAATGTTAACAATGTAGGTAGCCCAAGTTATACATTTATACATAGCTATGTATATATATATATGTGTGTGTATATATAGCTAATTAAGGAGAAGCAAGCAAGAAATGTATGTCTTTCGTCTTACTTTTTCATCACGTTCTAACAATGACCAACCAGTCATACGATCATCTCATCTAGTCCCAGTGCGCAGGCAGCGGCAGCACCACGACGCTCCCCCTCCCTCCTCTTCCTCTATTCCATTTCCACCCAAAGAAGATAGCCAGTAATTAATGACAATGGACGAGAAGAAACTTTTTTCATGCAGGAAAGGAATCATGGATCGTCAACTAACTCACGACTTAATATTATGTAGATTTGGATGGAATTGTTAGCTTCAAATTAGAGGGACAATAGATCAATGGGCGATAGGCAAGAGCAATAATATAGGATCGTATCGTAGGCAGCAGCGTATGCATGACCTAATTGGTGCAGAGAATATTGGTACGAGTTTTTTTGATAGTGTAACAACCAATGAAAAATAACAGCCAAATAAATCTTTACAGGCAAAAGCTGCCTTGCAGTTACCAGTAACAACTACACGAATATGCTCTTTTGAGTATGGGAAGGGAACGCAACAAATTTCTTGCATGTTACTTACACCTCTTCTTTTTTCTTTTTTCTTTTTTTTTTTTGGGTTGGGGGGGTAAAGCTTAGTTGCATGCCCACTACCCCCGGGTGTGGGTAGATGGCTCGGACCTTGAAGGCAGTGCCACAATGTGTATCATCTCTCTCTCTCTCTCGCTCATCATTTATCTCTCTAAAGTTTCCATGTGTGATTCGGAGTATCACTAACCGATACATGTCATACCCCTCTGTGTGTGTGTGTGTGTGTGTGTGTGTGTATTGCCTGCTGCTTTTGTGATAAACTTTCATTCATTCATTCCCATTTCGATTTTCGATTTTCGATTTTCGCCGCCTATATATTTACTTACCACATACCACCTCCAGCTAGCCCCATTTCTATCTTTTGCTCATAAGGATCATCCCATCTCCCTCCCTCTCTCTCTCTCTCTCACAAACACGCTCACACACTTTCCACCATTCTTTTTCTTCGCCGTGTCTTGGTGGTTTCTGCTTAGCAGTCATGGTTTCCGGTGATATTGCTCGCACTGTGGTTGGTATTATAGGTAATTTCTTCGCTGCTAATTAATAATTACTAGTGTAAGTTTCTTTGTTGATGGCCATAGCCAAATTAATTTTAGATTCTTTCCTGTTTGTTTCTGTATATGTGTATGTATGCACATGCAACCGTACATGGCAACTAGCCGTACTTTTTTATCACATGCAAAAAAATTTCCCCCTTCAGGCAACTAATTATCTGAGTTTGATTCTTCCATCTCTTTCAGGAAACGTCATTGCACTCATCTTGTTCTTATCACCGGTGTAAGCAAAGCTCCATCCATTCCGCAAACTTCTTAGTGGAACGCTTCTTCTTCTTCTTCTTTTTTGTTTTTTGGGTTGGGGGTTTTGTGGGGGTGGGGTTTATCATAATTAGTAGAGTATATTTTTCTCTTTTCCTGGTAAAAGAAAACAATAGGTTTAATCCCATCTCGACGATCTGCCGCCGAACTTCTGGTTCTCCCCCCGCCGAATAATTGATTTTTGGATTCAACTCTGTTTATTGAAATGCGGAAGCTAGACACTAAATGGAGTACTAAATAATAGTACCAGCAGTAATAATATTTATCCTTGTTTATTTTCCAGTTCCACTACTAAAATGTCTTTGTCAAGTTCAAAATACACAAGGAATTGCTTGTTTCTTCCGATCCATTTCTCTCTCTCTCTCTCTATATATATATATATATATATATATATATATATTCTCTATCATAAAACCCACGTTCCAAGGATTGAGTTAATGAATGAATCTTGGTTTTGATGATCAGGCCAACGTTTGTCCGGATATGCAAGAAGAAATCAGTGGAGCAGTACTCGGCAGTGCCGTACCTAGCAACATTTATCAACTGCGCTTTATGGGTGTTGTACGGGCTGCCCATGGTGCACCCAAACAGCACCCTAGTGGTCACCATTAACGGCACCGGATTTGTGATCGAGGTGGTGTTCTTGCTTCTCTTCATCGCCTACTCCGACCCGAAGAAGAGGCTCAAGGTGGTGGTGATAGTGGTGGTGGAGTCCTTGTCCGTGGCGGTTCTGGCCCTCCTCGTTCTTACTTTGGCCCATACTACCAAGCTCCGGTCTGCAATTGTGGGCAGTATTTGCATGGCCGGCAACATCATGATGTATGCTTCTCCATTAGCCGTCATGGTTCGTCATTCTACATCCATCCATCTCCTGCTGCTTGCACTTTAATTTGCATTCTCATTATTATTAGTATTATTTTTTTAGTTTAATTAGGATCATCATACCTTCCGGTATTACTTACATTATCCTTGTCTATGGTGATTCATTTTTGTAGTACGTTAATCCAACACAAACATCTCCTTTTTGGGGAGACAAAATTGACGTCCTCTAGCTTGATGAACTCTCTTTAATATGCCAATTTCTGAAAACTTAAAATGGGGCCTGGCTAATCTTTGTTTTGGACAGGACAGTTTTTTTTTTTTAAAAAAGAAATCTGTATTTTGATACTTATACTGAATTTTTTGGACCCTGAGAGCGAACCTGACCCTAAATCCTACTGTAACTTACTTGATCAAAAGACTTCTCACTCACAAGAATTGAAACGTCAACTTTTGCTATGCAATCAATCGTATTTGGGAAGTACTGTACTTCAACTTGATCATAGTTGTTATTCTTTTGGTTCTGCAGAAACTGGTGATCACCACAAAGAGCGTGGAGTTCATGCCTTTTTTCCTGTCTCTGGCTTCATTCGCCAATGGGATTAGCTGGACGGCATATGCCCTCATCCGTTTTGATCCCTTCATTGCAGTATTTACTTCTTTTAACTCTCTTGAATTGTGCATGTTCTTCAACTACTAATGCCAAATTCCATTAGGGGGGCTGTAGGTATAAAGCAAAATTTGTAAGATCTTCCTTAGTCTGTGCATGTTTTGCATTATGGTACAACTTCAATTTACTCCGCCTATTTCCGGCCTAGAGGGGGGGAAAAATTTTAAAAAAAAAAATAAATAAAAATAAAAAAGAAGAAAGAAAAGCGAATTAATAATCATGGGCCGTTAACTGTCTTCTTTTTAAGTAGTTGCCTTTTTGAAAATGTCAGGCTCCTAATGGGATGGGATCACTACTTGGGCTGGCCCAGTTAATACTCTACGCAACCTTCTACAAATCAACAAAGAGACAGCTTGCTGAAAGGAAAGCTAAAGGAGAAGTGGGCTTGACAGAGAAGGCCGCTAATGGACACACCAAAAGTACAACCATTGTTGCTATTGATGGTTCACGTCCTTCTGAGTCTGAGGCTCTAGATGTTTGACAAAGAGACGCATTAGGAGGAGAATCTCCAGAATGGCACGAGTCAACTCAAATAACACAGCAGACTTCCCAGCCCAGCTTAGGAAACGCAGACGGACGCATTGGGTGGCCGTTCCCTTGCCTAGCATTAGCACAGTTGGCTGACTTCCACCGTCCTCCTCCGCTTCAACGTCTGTTCTCAGTTTCTCAGACCACACTTCTTTTTGATTTTGATCTGAGCAATTCACACTTGGTCATGCATTACTTCCAAAACATGCTCCCAAAGTCTCTTCGCTTGTTTTTTATTTTTATTTTTTTTCGTTCTCTTCTTTGGAGGAGGCGTGGTTCTAGGCTTATTTTCAAGTTTTTGAGGGAGGACTTTGTTCAAACTTGGCTTCTGCTTGGATGTGACTTGTTCAAACATTCTGCTTCCGCATAAAAAATGGGTTCTTCACTTTTTATTAGTAGTAGTATTTAACTAGCGATTTCTCCATCTTATCATAATTTCCACCTGCTACGAGAAAGTCTATCCAATAGGTGGGGTGTTTGTGTTTCCGTTCACAATGACATTCCAAATTTCCAAATCAATCAGCTGTAATCTGTATGTACAGGTAATAAACAAGAAGACAAAATATTCTCCTAATGGGAAAATTTCTTATTATCTACGAGATGCTAGCATGGCAACACCAAGATTTACACTTGCACTTAAAAAAAAAAAAAAAAAAGAAATATATCCTACCACTGGAAAGAATTTCTAGGAGCTTTACCTATGTTACACCTAAGCAATCCTCTGCACTATGCCGAGCTCTCGCAGGAACTCCCGAGTAGGGGCATTAGGTCATAAACCACGAGTCTGATTAAATTGCTGGCTGCTGATATCGAAACATCAGCACACTCCTGCAGGTCAGCATCGCATGCTATAAGAACCCACTCGTTATCGTCATCTAGATACTTGATTTCAAAAGTTCCGAGCTCCAGCTTCAGCCTCTTGGCGATTTCCTCCTTTAACCTGTCAATACCAGAATCCAAAGGGAGACGAAATCTAATGATATCTTCCCTATATGTTGCTTTTATCGTAATGGTTTTCAACTCAAGCTTAGCTGAAAAACCTGGCATTCTTTCAGTGGCAACTGCTGTGGATTCTTTAGGGATTGCATCAGAACATGGCGGATCGTTCCAACTGTACTCTGGCACGCGTTCATCAAACAGGGCCTCAGCAGCTGAACAGAGCTTTTGTAGATCATGTGAACTTCCTGCATCCTCAATTAGCATCCCTCCAAATGGCTCTTGGGGTTCTACACTCGCAAAAGCATCTGCTGAGAAGCCAGCAGACAAATTGATTTCTCCCATTGGTTGACATGTAAATCCCACTGAGCCCCCTACTCTCATGTTCTGTTCAAGTGATGGTGAAACCACCAGTTCATTAAGAGGGGAGGAGCCATTTCTGATGCAGGGGCTACCTTGGCACGAGCCATGTGAAGTAGGAGTCCCTGCGCTTTCCTCCCTTGACCCACCTCCAATTTTGGACCTGTGTGAGCCTTCACCTGGCAGAAACCCATCTTCTCCTATTCTGCCACCTGGCAATTCATTTGAGGTTTCTGCCTTCTCATCATGCTCGAATCCATTAGGCAGAGAAGATTCATTCTTATCCCCAGGAAAATCATGAGATGGTGCAGACCCAGGATGGCCTAGTTGATGAGGTTCGCTCGAACTGGATGGCCGACAAGCGGAACCAACTGCAACAGGAAGTGATGATGTAGCCAAAGAAGTCAAAGTAAATGCACCTTCAGCACCTTGTACAGATTCAATCACACGCTTAAGCTTTGAAAGAGAGCGATTTACTTTGTTTATCTTGCGAGATGGCCACCTAGAAATGCCATGCTGCCTACATATGCGCTTCATTGTAGTGGGGCACACTGCAAAAAGTTAATATTGATGTCAGCAATTCATTTTTAAGCAGCAAATTTAATTCAGCTTCCTGCAGGAACTCAAAGTGTCAGGAAAAAACGTTCGTGGAAGAGGGAAGAAATTTCTACTGGGCACTGTGGGCAACAGAAAGTTAAGACTGAATTAACTTACCACCAAGACTCTTTGCTGCATCCTTAAGACTACCAGCAAAATATTGTTGCAGAACGTCTAAGCTAATTGTTTTCTCTGCCTTCCCACGTTTCCTCTCTGTTTTCTTGCCCGTGTCTTTATTCTCAGCAATAGACACAGCATTCTGGACTCGAGCTGCACCACTCCCATGTGCCACATCATTTGCACAATTGTCACCCAATGTTGGTCGCTGCAATTCGATGGAATCAAGCTGCAGCATCTCTGGAACAGTTAAGGCGGTAGATGTTGTTGCAGGTTTTGATGCTTGAAATAGTTTAGGTCTTGAATCAAGCTTCTCACCCACCAATGATTTAACAATGTCAACGGATCTCCAATCCTGTTGAAGTTCATTTCCAGAAGCAATTCTAAGACTCCCTAGATGCTGTTTCATTGTCACTAAGAGTGAATCCAACAAAGCCCTTTGCCCTGTATGGTCTCTGATGCTAGGTGGCAGAAAAAACTCTAGGACATAATCATCATCTCCAGTGTGAGTGCTTCGTAAGCAGATAGCAAAGCAACTATTTAAACCAAACATGCGTGCGTAATGCACCAAAGGGTACTCAGTTTTGCAAAATAGAGTGACATCTTCGCAAAAGCACAGGTTGTGGGAAGCAAATGCCCTCCCAGCAACACCCTGCCCCTTCTGCAAGTGGTGCTCGGCACAGGCCTCACGGAAACCCCATATATGAGCATCCACCACATAAAATGCTACGTCAGTCGTCGACATGCAGATTTGTCCCATGCAACTTCCATCAAAACTACTGCAGGTCTTCCTTAAACCCCCACCATTTGCTAGGACACTCCGATGCCTGCACGGAACCCATGTCTGAGCTAAAGGTAATTTGTGAGTCTCACATATCTCCGTTAGTATCCCCAATATTTCAGTCAGCGCATTTTGCCGATCCTCATTGCATACCTGGTTTAAAAGATTACTGACTAGGTATTTGTCAACAAACCAAAAAGTAATTACTGGTTCTAAGATCTTCAACTTTACAGATGCTCTTACCTGTATGATTGGTTGATCCAGTACCTCCGAACTTTTCAAGTTAACAGCCTGCAGAAAAAATGAAAGTGTTTACCATACGAACCTCAAAACACCAATGACATGACCAATACAGAGTCTGTAGCTGTAGTAACCTTAACCCTGGGCCAAATGAACAAGAATTCAACTCTCTAGACAGCTAAAGAAAAGGTTTATGGCCATGTTAGTGAAAGCAGAACAGCTAGAAGTGACAAAATACTTTGGAGAATGAGATGAAGTCACAGATCATGGAGAAATGTCCAATTAGAAGCAGAAAATTCCAGCAACAGCTTTTGAGAGGTAATTCAACTCAAGCAAGATCATGTTAGTTGATTTTTGGGACATAAAGTCTGGACGTATCATAATCAAAACATAATTATATTGTCAGAAATACCACATATCTTGAATCACAAAGCATAACAATAGTTATCTCAAACATCCAAACAAGAGATTTATTTGAATTAACACTTCAGTAGTTAATGAACAAAATGCATCTCAAAGAATATGTTGCAGGAGGAGCACAGAGGATCTCTGCATGCAACATCAACCTATTACTTGCCAGCACCATATTAATAACTATCATACAGGAATGCTCTGCAAATGGTTCACAAAAGTAACCAAGCACTAGGTTTGAGAAATAATGAAGCAGGACTTATCCAAAGCAAAATGACATTTTCACCCAACATAAAACAACCAAAACTGTGGTCAATAAGTCTGACTGGGCTAGATCAACAGAACAAATTACAAATTTGAAAAATTAATAACTAAGCAGACAAGTGACTGAAAACAAGTTTTTTAAAACATTCTGTGCTCGGTAATGAACGAATACTGAGATGCTTTATATCTGAGTTTGGGAGGTTTGCAGAACCAACCTCAAGTGCTTTGCATACTTTATCAACCTCAGGAGCATAATTAATCTTCTGGGAGGTCATTATGAGCTCGAGTACACCAACACAGTTTTGACCAGAAGGCTCAAATACTGGCAGGGCCAAAGTCCCTCGAACATTATAATGAAGAGCATGGTCAAGGCGTGTATACTCTTTGCTTGAATAATACTGCACATTTGGGGTCCATTCTGGCAATTTTTGCCGGAATACGCGACCAGGCAATCCAAGATCTCCATCAGTCTCCCCGTCAACTGAAAACATATACATTGCAGAGACCATCCTATACTGGTAAAGCCCATTAGTCTTCGGGTCAAGAACAAATGGCTGTCCTGAAGTTGTGAGTACACAGCGACCACCATTCTTCACAGGCACCCAGACCTGCGCCAAGACATGCTGTTCAGTCGAATCTTTGAGGAATCTGAGAGCCTGCGTCATTTTCTCCTTTATTGTACAATAACCATCTGGATAATCCAATGGAGTCAATTCCAAAGTTGATGAAGGCGGCTTTCTTTTATCAGCATTCCCGCATATGTTTTCTGTTATCAAATCAGTATTACCTGTGTCCATTTACTATACCCAAATCAAATCTTTCACAAAAGATACTGTTCCAAAAGACTGGAACCAATAAATCAATGACGCCAACATTCTCAACAACACAAAGGCTTCTACCACATCAATTTCCAAAGAATATTGTTAAAGATTTTGAACCACTCCCGTCAGTGCCAATTGGCTTTTAAGTTGGAAACACGATTCTTTCACAAAAGGACCAACATCCAATCATAGATATGAGTGCCATTGGAAGAAATAAAAATGCAGAAACAAAGGACGAGGAAACAGAAAGGGTCCAGCCTCACTCACAATCACAAGCACGGTTTACCCAGAGAACAGCTCAAAATTGTCGAAAATGTCTGATTTTTTTTTTCTTAATTTCCCTATTAAATGTTTATTCAGAAGAAGTAATAGCTTAACTAAAATGTAACTAAATTTATCTGAAAACACGTCAAAAAACTTCATGGACTTGGATACCCTATAAAAGCGATCACTTTCTCCATCTAGCTCAGGAGAAGAAAAAGGAAAAAGACAACGCTTTTCTTTCTCCCTTCGTTTCAGTGCTAAAACAAATCAGGGGGATGGGAAGAAAAGTAGTGAAATTGAAGCAGAGTCATGGGAACCCAGGAGACATATCAGCTTGGACAACTGAAAATTAAACCAGTATATATACTACACACAGGTAACAATCAAGAGCTGAGAAGTGAAGCTTACAAGGGAGGATTTTGGAGAAGTCAGAAAGGGGAGCTGTATTCACGGGTGCTTTATCCTCATTATTATTACTGCCATCTGAAAAGGCCCAGAGGGGAGAACAAGGGTGGTCGGAAGTGGAGAGTAGAAACGGGGAAGCAGAGGAGGAAGCGACAGCTGAGAAGAAGTTATCAAAGGACCAGCAAGCATCAAAATCGAGATCAAGATCCATGATTAAAGAATCTCTGTCGGGCGGCTGAGCAGGGGAAGTCAAAAGCCCCTCCGACTTCTTGTGCCGGGCAATATTCTTATCTGGTTCTTCTGGCTCACCCATTTCTCCTTTTTTGTCCTTTAACTTAAATGTTCTTTTTTGTTTCTTCCCGGGCGATTACAGGCAGGGAAGGGAAGGGGAAGGGGAAGGGGAAGGGGAAGGAGAGAGAGGGACGGAGAGGAAGTGGGAAGA